TTTCTTATGCAAATCGCATGGGTGGCATCAATGATTAGATCCCTAGCTTTTTATATGCTGAAGTGTCTTTGCAAGACACCAAACCCTGCATTGCTGCTGATGTGCTCACCGGTGTGCAGATATGGAGGTAAAGAGGTGAAAACAGAGTGTAGATGTTCTATAGGAAATCCTGTCTGACTGTTTCTGCATGATCGAAACCTTGTACCATGCTTTCTAGAGCTAATTACAAAAGTACAACTAGTGATGCCTTTATGGTGCAGATATTATATCACTCTAAGTCTGATACATATAAAATATATCTGACATAGATGCCCATGCAGAGGCTTCACGTGCATCTTCACATTTTAGGAACTATTAAAGGTTCATTTTAATTCACGTCATCTTGCTTTCCAGATAGAGAGATGATAACTGAGTTGTGGTAAATATTGTTCCGGCCATGTCAAATAGGAGCCAAAGTTCCTGAAAAGATGTACAGAATGTGCTTGAGTGTTCTGATTGCTGTAACTCAGCTGAGCACTATTAGAAGGACACTCGACTCGCAGCGTCTGTATTTAGAAAGATCTCTGGATGAAATTAGACCATAGCGGAATGCACTGGTAGAAATCCAGGTCAGAAGTTATTTCTATGCCTTGAACTTAATATGGAAAATTCCCTGCTCTGTGCCGCCAGACCTCTAATGTCTCATCATTTCTCTTTGTCATTACCAAACACAATGTTCTGAAAACCAAAACCGTCCGACAGCTGAGCCCTCAGGGTTTCTGTGAACATGTGGAGGTTGATAACTAGCTCTGCTACACAGAAGCTGTAACTCAGCTGCTGCCTAAACCTTTAGTTTCACCGAAAGATAAAATAAGAGAGAAACAAACACACAAACAGAATCATGTAAACATTATGACACATTATACATGTATAAAGTTAAACAACTTTGAATGGGATTATATGTCACTGTAGTGACTAAACGAAAATTGTGTTTAGCTATATAGAACTTTAAAAAGTGGGGAGTGCTTTTGGTTTTATTCTCCTTTACTCGAAGGCCTCTAAATATTAATTAATAAACAACAGTATAAAAACAACAAAACAAATATTGTGTTTATTGGAGGGTCTTTGTAGTATAACCAATAAATATTAATAACATATA